TAAACAATTGTACTTAGTAAAATATACAACTGTTAAGATAAAATATGTAGATGTAATTTACCTAAATGTGGAACAAAGGTCACGTACAATTATACGGAATACTCACGATATCTTCTAATAAGAACAAATCGTCGAGCTATAGTTGAAATAACTAAATCTGTAAACTAGGTTTAGCTATAATTGAAATACATTAATCTTGTTATTTATAAAAATCCTACTACATTTTTCTTAAATTATGTTTATTAGAAGTTACTTCTTCTGTGTCATATAACTGCAAAATCAGAGGACGTTTTTTAACTTATTTATTATCTTTCCTTGGTCTGAAATTTATAAGACATCAACGTTACATACGTTGATGTTTTAAATTCCTGAGGTATAAAAATTACCACTTGTAATGAATTTTCAATCAACATTTGAACTTCTTTATGTAATAGGAAGTGAGTTTTATAAACATTCGGATTTAAAGACCTTTCAAATTATTTTAGTATCTGTATCCCTAGTGATCAGATTAAGAGCAAATTTTGAGAAATTGATTTAACCGTATGTTTTCCAGGTTACATTGCATTTTATGGCCTGATATCAGGAGTTCACAAGCGATTTACTTATAAGTAAAGATAAAAATAAAAGAGCATCTTAAGACTTACTCAGATGTGTTCAAAATATAAGAAGTTGTTTTTATTTATAAGATTTCTTTACTTTTATATAAAATATAATAAATGTTATTAATGGATAAAATGTTATTCACAAAATTTATAACATTGTATAAAATGGTCTCATCATTAAATGTGGCTCTTTTATAATTTCTTCAAATTAAAAGACATCATCCTCTTTAACACATTGACCTGAAGTGGAAGTTTTGTGAATTATCGCTTTCAACGGATATACATACTTATAACTGATATTAGTTCTGTCATTTTTTGACAATAAGACCAGTGGTCTTATAGCCGAAGACAAGCTGATATTATTATTTTTTTTGTAATTTATACCTTTTTTATCAGTAAGACAAAAATAACAAACTGAAAACAAGCGTACACCTCTCTTCAATTAGTTAATTTTTTTACACACGTTATGCAGCAGACATGAGAAGCCTAGAATTTGTCTTAATGGGCGACAGAAACACAGAAACATCATTGATAACACTCCAACACGAGATTCGTAAATTTTCGTCGTTGTTTTTTAAATGTAAGTTCTCCGCAGACATAACAAAAAGAGTCAGGATCATTAATTATTACACTTCCTACACATGTTCACAGGGTTAATGAATCTCAAAAAAATATTAAAATTCAACGACAAATATTTTTATAACGATTCACTTGTAAGCGTATCTGTTAATTAACGTCCGCAGTACTAATTATTATGAGTATTACCGTATCACAACAAATATAAGTCCAATAAACTTACGAAAACTGTGATTTAATAATGAGGATAGATGGATAAAACAAAATTTGCTATAAAGTTCGCTAATTCATAAAGCTATATTCATTAAAAAGGATACAAATAGTCCAGAAACGACATCAAATTTTTAAAAGCATTGTCTCCAACGAAGACTTTAAAAAATTGATTGTTACAGCTTATAAATCCGCAGGTATAAATGCACCGAAACGAAAAAGTGAAAACTAATATGAAACAAAATAATTACAATATTAATGTGAAATAAATTCATTTAATATATTAAAAGTTTTATGGTAGGTACTTGTAACACTTTAATATTAAAACTCCTATTTTTAGTCTTACAACTGATATATTATCTTCCGTTCAAATTTAATAACTCATTTATTTTTGTGATTTTTAAATTAATCCAATAATAAGATGTTAATAAAATGAATGTAATAAAATTTATAGAAAAATGGCGAATAAAAAGTTCTTTAATTTGCTTCCTCTAACAACTTCTACAAGCAATGAATAACATGTTTTGTAGCCAGCTGAACATAAAATTATTTTCCATATCAAGGAAATTGGATTAAAAAAAATATTTCGCACAAAACTTCGAAAAAATTAAAAGCATTAAAATGTTTAGAAAATTTTTATGTATATTATAATTGAAAAGAGTCTTCTTTGTATGAAACTATAAAATATGTTGCAGAAATACAGAAAAATCCTCGTTTCAAATTCTTATTAAGAAGAGTTTTGATTATTTGAAAATACTAATAATATTCCAATACCTTAATACAGCATCTTTTTTGTTATATGTATGAGACATCATCACGAGAAAGATTTTACAGGATTTAAAAAAAAGATTCGTAACCTATTGTTTAGTTTCACTCGAAGCAATAAAGCAAATTGCTGACGCACCCTAATTGGGAGTGATTGATAAATATTGGTAGCTGAATTATGAAAAATGAGTAAGTAGTTTTTTTTACTCTTATAATACTACTTTTGTACTGTAGTGATATTTTTGAAAGGGTTTGTTTGATTTTAATATTAAATAATCTATCCAAACAAATGCGACTTAAATTTAATTTTTATTTATGTTAGTTTATAATCATACTATGTACATAGATAAAATAATAAACCTTTTTTTAAATCACATTATTACCGTGTCCTACAAAAATAGCAAATTAAAATATTTTCGTTTCAGTATATAAATTCAATACAGATAGTCGTTAAGCATTTCTTAAATTATTTCAAATTGGGAACAAGGTTAAAAGAGCAATTAACTAATTGTTTTTACCATTTGATCATTATAAATAACACTTCCACCTACGTTAAAGAAGGTACTTGCCAGGATCGAACCCACGCCCTCATGCATGAGGGGCGGGCCTTTAACCACTAGGACAATTTATTTTATTATATAAACCAAATACTTACATACATTTCTTATTTGACTATAATTTATTTCTTAATGAATTATAAACATAGAAATTAATTTCCGGAAGTTGCAAGTTAATGTAACACGATTTCGCAGTTTTATTCCTTACTAAACGAGTTTCGGAGTTATTCCACAAAACTGGCGATAGTTGAAATTTGTGGATAAACGAAATATGTTCCATTTCAGGAAACATTTCGTTGCAAGCTCCACTGATATTGTAGCAACTCATTGCCCCTATTTAAACAGTTACAGCCAAGCATAATACAAGTCGAGAAACTGAAATTGTTCAATTATTTTATCACAAAGGAGTATTGAGATTTAGATAATTTTTTATAAAGAATTGGTATAACATGTTCTTTATAGTGTATTTCTTTAAAAAATAACTATCCTTGGTTAGGTTCATGTTAATTATGCGACAAACTTAACGACTGTATACAGGTACGTATGAAGTTACTGTTTCTCGGCACTTAGATAAATAATAACAACAATATTTTAAATACAAATTGGCAAAGGTAGTTACGAATTTCTAAAACAATTTTGAAGAATAATAATAGGTACTAAACTCATTCTTCAAAGAATAATAATGGTTTCATCAGTATGTATAAGTATTTTTTTATATTTTTAATTATATAAATTAAAATTAACTCACATATTTGTTAAATATTATACTAAATTCTTGAACACGCTCAAATTTTATTTTCTTGGAAATTGAATATTATTTTTTTTCAATGAATATCTCATATGGTTTTTAATCGTTATTGTATATTGCAAAATTACTGATATTAATTCTTATTAAAATATTTAAGAAAAATTCGTTGTTTGTAACAATTAAGAAATCTTGGAAATATGACGACAACTCACTATTTTGTTATTCAGATTCACACAAATGAAATGTGGTTACGAATAATATATTACTTGTGTATGAGGCTTATAACATAAATTTTACGCTACGTGAGCTTTTGGACGGTAAAATATAAAAGGGTTGATCCTTTTGTTGAGGTTCGTAATATTGGGAGTGTCTGTTTTCTTTTCCCAGAAATCTTTCAGTGGAAACACACGTAGCTTTCAACAGCTTCCCACAGTAACATTTCACGTTTGAAGCTGTTTGAACATGTATAGCTATTATAAATTATTTTCAGCCTTTGTATAAAGTTTAACGCTGTAGTTTTTGAACATTTCAGATGACAAACTGTTGAAAAGTTCGTGAAAATAATAAATATAATCGAAGTCATACATTTCGAAATTATAGTTATCACTTTTAAAATACAAATATGATTTTAAAACTAAAAATACATTTAAAATAAACTATATCCTTGAAATTATTATTTAAATCATTTCCTAGAATTGGTTCTCAACGGAAAGAAAGACAGAGGAGCTCAAAATTTTCTTTATAAAAACATTTCATCATTTTAAAGTTACGAAATATAAATTTCAGTCAATTTTATTAGACTCAAAACAATTGAGATGAAATCTATTTGGATATTTCGATAGTTGATTCTTTTGATGTTACGAGTTTTCTCGTTCCACTGTAGAATTTTCAGATATTGACTAAAATCTTATTCAAAACATTTAACAGTTATCAAATTGTGCAGTACACTTTATTATATCTTATATAAATTTACATATGTTCCAGCCAAAAAACAGATTCTGGATGAAGAGTTTTAGTTTATTTTGTTTGGTAATTGGTTGTGAAATATTAAGAAAATGTAACCTTAATCCAGATTGGATTTATTAGAGAGATTTGTAATGGCGTTATTTAAGAACTTTTTACTTTAATTATTATTTGATTTCCCTATTCCTAAATTATATCTTTTATGAAGATGAAAGATATTCCAAAAAAATATATAATCTTTTAATATTAATGTCTGTCGTTCAAATATCGCTACGTGAAATTTCTAGAATAATTTATAAATAATTTTCGTAATAATTTTAAATAACAATGTCTCAGAATTTTTTTTTGGTCAATTCATGGTAACTTTATATACTAACCCTTATAAGTTATAATGAATCAATAATAAAGTATATTTTGTTAGGATTGCTATTTTGCAATCATTAAAAGTTGATTATTTGATGTATAAAAAATATATTTTCGATTTTTTATAATCACCCGAATAATTCTCGTGGGAAATAAAATATGATATTAGTAACCGAAGTTTATCATTTTAAGACATCGCGCATTGGTCTGATTTACCTGTATACAGGGTTGTCGTCCCTGTACCACACCACTAGGAGCAGGCTATCATTACGTTGTGGAGGATGCGAATCGCAAGGTAGGCTTGCCTCTCCTCCCACTACCGATGACACCTTTGTGATCGTCCCAGTGATAGAAGACAATGAACTGCCTGTGGGGATAAACTCAGTTTACTTACTTGGTATTTCAATTATTATTATGTTTTTATGTGAAAGGTGGCAAACGGCCTTCTTGATGGAAGGTGGTAACCGTCACCCATCGACATCCGCAACACCTTTGTGTTTTTTTTTAGGGATAGGGAGGGGAATGGGAGTAAGGAAATGGTAGGAAAGGGTGGGAAAAGGGTAAGGGCAATCGGTTCTCTCACTCATCGGACGAATCGCAGCCTATAAGGGCTACTTCACGCCGATCTTCTTTGAGAGGATGGTACTGCCCCGGTCGAACAAGCCCATGTTCGAGCTGTAGTGACTTGACCACAGCTAGGCTCTACCACCTCAGAAAAAGCGTTCTACCTCATATCTACAAATTTTCATTTAAGCCGTTTAATTTTCAAGGAGATGATGTTTTAAATTAAATACATATTATTTTATGAAAATGAGTCACAGTAATAATAATTTATTGAAATATAAATACGCATAATTGTCAATTAATACACAGTTTTTATATATTTATATAAGAATATTTAAAATTATTATTGTTAATAGAATAAATTAAACAATCTTTTATGAATGTCTTCGTACAATTTTAAAAAAGGTAAACTGTGTTTTATATTTTGCAGTTAAGAATAAAGAGGAGAAGCTCTAATTAAATAATTTACTTTCGTCCGCCTTTTATCTTCACTTTGTGAATTTTAAAACTTAGCAAGCGATTATCTATTTCGAGACAATTTATTACGAAAATACGACAAAAATGTCAAGTACAGTCTTATAATATTTTCATACGGAAATAATTGAAGTAAAACTGTAAAAATACATTTCATTTATTTAATTCGTTTTACTGTCAAACTAAGAATTTACCTCTTTAAAGAGAATTCTGAGTCAATTCAAAACAAGGAGTGAAATACTATTGAGAGGGCAACTTAGATGTCGCCTTTGACCTTATTGTTTTATAGCAGCAATATTGTTTTATTCAAAAATAGGTTAGCAAGAGATTTATAAGTAATCCTCGTATATATATATATATATTTCTGCAACCAAATTACGTTTGAACAGTATTGTACGCGTTTAACAAGCGATTAAAAAAGTTAGAATGAGAATAGCTGTGGTAACATTATAGTTACAGGAGCTGTATTTCACTTAGCTTTTAAACGATTAAGGTATTTAAAATCATTAAACGAATGAATATACATATATCAGCTTAAAACTTCATTTTTGAAATAATTATAATCACAATATCCAAAACTGTGCCTCCGGGAAGTTACAAGGACGTTGTACATTTTTATATAATTTTAATTAGAGGATTATTTTATTTTGGAAAATAGATTATTTACGAAATTAAATTTTTATTTTTGGATCTAATACAAAAACGAAAACAAATCTTTTAAAAGTTCGATTTATTGGATTGCTTAAATTCTATATATAAACAATAATAATTTAGTTAATATTGCATAGTTAAATATTGCTCACAACATCTTTTGATTTATTGTTAAATTGAAAAAAACTGTTCAATAGTTCCTGCAAAATTAAAGTTTGAAATTTCACTTTGCGTGAGTCATCTGTTTCATTGGTTAAAAACTTGTCTTATGAATTTTAATACTAGTAGCAGAAGCGATTCAAGTTGACTTGACATACCCATATTATTTTAAGGAAAGATCGAGTGTGTGAGGTAATTGAACCATAACGTTCACAAATTAATGACGTTTCTTATTTACCTGTTTCGATTGTTTTGTTTGGTTTTACGAAAGGTCTGAATTAAAAAAGCAATATCTTTGGACTCCTTGTTTCTCATTTCTAGACAAATAAAAATAAAAATCCGAAATTAATTATGTAAAACAATTTAAAGTCATTACTTCTATTAGGAAGAAAGCCAGAAATTACAAAGTATGCTGAACTTTTTAATAAGAAATAATAATTAAATATTAATCTGGTAAAACCTCTAAATAACGTCCTTATGATGGGCGTAGCTTTCATTATTATATTATATAAGAATAAAATAAGTTACCTGTAATAACGGTATTCTGTGCAGCAGATGGTGATGTAGGTATAAGAATCAGGATAAACTTGAACAAAGTCAGTTTATAACACCACACAAAGCGCATCGCGTTTTTTTCTTTTTCACTTTTACTCTAAACACTTTTGTATTTTTACAAGTGATCTTGGATTCTTGTATCTAATATGTCCAAATTTCAGAACTGTCCATACCTGAAATAAATATTACAATCAATCATTTTAATTGATAAATTGCAAGATACGTATTATATTGTGGATGTTAAAGTTCTAATATAACTTCTGCGTCTATAGTTAATATACATATACAATGTACATAAACTATAGTAGCTAGCTACAATCTTCTTCTACCTGGCAATTTCCCAGCTTTAGCCAGGGACTGCCTTACATGTTGCGAATAGTTTTTGGCTAATTGTTTTTATGATCGGCCGCCTGTCTGACATCAACCCTCTTTTTGGGAATGCATTAATCAGTGATGTCTAAATACTCTTAGAAAGTACATGTGAATCGGTAAAATCACATTGGTACTTGCCCCGGCCAGGATCGAACCCGCGCCCTCGAGCATGAGAGGCGGGCCTGTTAACCACTAGGCCACCACTGACTGAGCTGTAGCTAGCTACAATATACAGTTAATAATAAATTATACAAATTTTGTAATACTTGTGCTAAATATAAACAATCATCTGGGTTTTTAATATTAACTAATTTATTTTATGAGGTCCCATACTAGAAAACTGAACATTCAAAACAAGTGGAGATTTAAAAATAAAACTTAATATTTTTAAAACAATAACATTAAAAGTAGGCAATTGAAATCTGAAAATTAAAATTAAAATTAAAATTAAAATTTGATTGACGTGCATTAATTAAATGTTGTTATGTAAGTTTGATGTATTGACACAAATGATAAAAGATTCAATGTTTCAGCTGTTACAATGTTTATTATTTTAACTAGTTCAGTATTTTTTAGTTCTTTACTTTATTTTTTATAATAGTATTTTATTAAATAAATATTTACAGTATAGCAGAATAAATACTAAGAAATGAATTTTACAGTGCAGACTTAGCTTATTTAAACCTTCTTGGCGGTTGGTACTTGTGAGATACACTAAATCTTTGTGATTTTCAATTGGAGATTCAATATAAAGCTATATGCGTTACCATATAATGATAAGGAAAAGAGGCCTTACAGCCATGCCCAATTCAAAAATCCCGTCCGCAATTAATTATTTGTATCTTTTTTAAACTTTAATTTATTATTAAATTATCATAATTATAAAATTTTTGCTATTTACATTTATTATTTTCGGGATCTTAAGTCACAGTACTAAAAATATTTAGAGGAATGAAGACAAAAGAAGCAAAATTGTTTGTGTCTTTCTTTGTTATGATGATTATTTTCTGGACAGACTCAACTAACCCAAAAAAAAAAACTTTATTCGATTTCTTAGCTATTAACTAAAGGACGAATCATTTAAAATTATATTTCTTTAAATATAAAATTTAATATGAATTATATTCTTACAATTACAATAATTAGTACATAATTTAAATAGAACTAAGTTTATGTACCACATCTTATTTTTGTGAGTATCAGAATAAAAAAAAACAGCAATTTTCCGTTCTAGATTAATAATTAATAATCTCCATTTTAGGCAATAAAATAGTTAATTAGATCATCCCAAATTCGAGGGCAGAATCACGTCGTCTGAAATTTGAATTATTTTGAAACTAGAAAAATGAAAACGGGGTTGAAACTAGGTTGTTGTTTTTAAATAACTACTTTTACCTTAATGTGATCCTTTTCAAGAAAATCTTTATGTAATTCGTTTGCTGCAGTCGACGCGTCCAAAAGGCAAAAAAATTAAATCAATCACTATATGAAAATGTGAGCTCAAAGTCTGGATAGAGTGTCTTATTCAAACGCTTCTTTCTTTATCTTTCTTTATTAGTACTGTAGAGTCGATAAGGGTCTATTAATTTTAAAATTTATATTATACAAGTAATAAAGATACAATTACAATTTTACATTAGGTATATAAGTTTCATTATGAATTGAGTGTGTATCAATTAGTTAAGCTTATGGTATGTTTTCAATGTCACGATAATCAAAACTACAAGTATGAGTAATTTTTACTTTGCAGTTTATTAAAATTAATCATTTTGGTGAATAAAGCCACAAAGAGGAAAATAGAAAAGACTTTAAATTTTATACAGAGGAAGAGTTTAAATGTAACAGTAGGTTTATCAAGTAATGTATTGGAACGTGCAGTATTCGTTAGTGATGTTACATATTTTTACAGCTGATAAACAGGTCAATAGTTCTTATCAAACGAACTCGATTGACTTTGGGATGAGTGTTTCACTTGATTTATGACGATTTTATAAAGGGTATAAGATTTATTTCCTCTTTCGGCTTCTCCAAATAGTTCTAAAACAAAAATGCTAAGTATAACCTAGAACATTTGGACTACAAGAAGAGTAATACGTGATTTATAATTAATACACAGTGAGAGTTTTTTTGAGGTAGATGGAACCTTAGAAAAAGATATAGGCTACGTTCTACAAAAATTCGAGACACAGACCCTGAAAACTACACGAGTAAGACTATGTTGTTAATTTCGTGTGCAGTGGCTGCAGTGTTATTTTTTTATCTTTTCTCCAGATCGCGATCCCCATCCCAACCCCGAACACAAAACCTTTAGTATGGTGAAGTGCAGTGGGAATAAGGGTGACCGTTATGACGGTGAATAACTCTGATGTTAACGCAGACGGAGTTGAAAACAATAAATAATAAATGAAATTCAAAATCACACAAATTATTCAGGAAGTTTATTACTTAAAATTTACACTTGAATAACCATTTTTTTATGAGAAGGGTGGTAAACGAGCAGTCGGCCTATTTGATTTGCAGTGACCGTTGCCTTTGGATATCCGCAACATAGATGTCACGAATGCGTTGCCAACTTTGGCTGTAGAGGAAAAGGAAGGTGGATGTAAACTAACAAATTATGTACGTACATGACTTCAATCAATATTTTCGACTTTTTAATTTAATGTTCTTGTATCCGTAAAGAAGCTTTGCTTTCACTTTTGTTTCATAAAACCTTAGCCCAATTCTTCAATATTTTAAGTTATTATGGTTCAAATTAGAAATGAAATAAGACTCATTGAAAAGGTATTATTTGGATATAAATTACTAATTCTATCATGCAAATATTGAACATATCATGGTTCTGTTGTTAGTGTATTTGCAAGATGATCTAGTCAAGCAAATATCAGTGAATGTTTTGGAGTTATATTGGTGACGAATTGAAAGTGGCTTAGTTCCGAAGTTATTTGGAAAACTTTATTAATTAAAAAAAATATGAATTAGAGTGAAACGGTATTTCATCGTGGGGCATTTGAATTAAAAAAAAAGCTTTGATTTATTGAGAATTGCTTTCATATATATTATAAATATATTCAAATCGTCGACAATCCCAATGTTACAGTTTGCAAAAAAAGAAAAATTGTAAAACATGGATTTGGAAAACTAACTTTATAGAACAATTTAATGCGCGAATTCAACTTGGCTATGTTAGAAAAATTTCTTTTCTTCCTCCCAAGGGTCAAAGTGAGTTGTTGTTTTTATTGAGTGAGCGGTGAGACGGAAATAATACGACTGAGCAGTCAGTTATTTAAAGCACACGAAATAGAAGTCAAGTTTGCACCTATCTGTTAAATAATCACATTGTGTTATTTAAAATTATCGTCCAAAATAAACTAGACACATTAAATTTATTAAAATAAATATAAACACTTGTATTAAGTTTACCACAGGTAAAATACTTTGATAATTCTGTTTATTATTTAAATTAAAATATATTTTTAAATAATAAAAACGACTTCAAAAAAAGCAACATAAGAACACAGGACAACAATAAGCAAAAAAGGACTGACCACTTAATTTAGATAAACGAACACTATTTTTATTTATTTTCCAATAATATAATTTGATGCGTATGTAACTATTTTTATATAGAATTTCTTAATATATTATCACGAGTTTCCTCTATTTTCTCAGGATTCCATAATCAGGTCTTTTTGTTATCATCATGGGACTATTTGTGAAGTCTAGTCTTATAAATTAATAAATCTAAATTACTCATTCAATTGTTATACACAGACATAACATTAATTTAAATTTATATGTTATACTTATATAATAAAAAAATAATATACAAATTGATAAACTTCCCCTTCTTGAAGTCTATTGAAAATAAAGAAATTTCGTCGTCTTATCCACAGTCAGGATTTCAATTATCTGTAACAGATTGCAAGCTTGAAATATTTTTTGACACTTAGATATATCGGCCCAAGGATTTTTTTGCTACAGCTAAAAGGCTTTTAAGACTTTTTGTGTAGCAGAATGTTTTATACACATGTATTTTTACTAATGACTTTTAAACAGGGGAAACCGGAGAACCCATTGCTACTCCATCTACTTGTAATATTATGTAGAATTCATCCTTCCACATGAGATAGCCAGATGTTAGGCAATACTTTGACAGTTCTGCATATTCAATAGGCGTATTTTTATCCTCACACTTCACATTATTAATAGCAAACACAATGAACAGTCGAACGTAGAAACGATAAGATATTGACACAAAATATCAGATATTTTGAATAATTACTATGTCACTAAGTGAACAAATAACAATTATCAATGATAATAATCATAACATGGTAGATCACGCACACGACAGGTCTGCAGAAGCAATCAATTAATATGGAAATTATAGAAGCGTGTATAATTATAATCACGAGTAACGTGTTTCATTTATTATTTTTTCTCAAAAAGGCAGACTTGCAAATACTCGCTCCCGTTTAATGGAAATAACAGATATATTTATATTAAAGAAACATAGCATTTACGTAATAATATACGAAAACATATAAAAAGATACAAATTAGATTTGAAACTATTATATAGTATGTACTATTAACATAAACACTTTTTAAATACAAACAAAAGAGTTAGATAGTATAGTACATATTGTCATTTAAAACGCCATCATTATACTTGTATCGTGTATCAAAAATGAAA